GGACTCCTCGGCCTCGGAGCGGTCGTCCTTCTCCTCGCCGTGCCAGACGTAGCGGTAGCCGATGCGCAAGAGGAAGAAGAGCCAGAAGAGGTTGAGCGCCTGCAGCAGGCCCAGCAGACCGAAGGTGATGATGTTGGAGGCCATGCACTTGTACTGCTGGTTGTCCCAGTCGGGGTAGAACTGGTAGGGGCCGACGGTGCGGAACTCGGTCAGAATGGACCAGAGGATCTTAAGGTTGATGACGTGGCGCAGGTAGATCCAGGAGGCGAGGGACAGACAGTACCACGGACCGGTGATCGGGTGGTCGATGTAGTTGAGCGTTTTGGACATCTGATATTGTTAGATCCGGGTTGCGTCCGGGCGAGGGGTAGGGGTGTCACTTACGGCCATGAAGAAATCACTGATATCGTGGGTCAGGTAGACGGCAATGCCGATGTGGGTGAAGTGGAAGCGGTAGCTGAGGCCGATGAGGCCGAGCGTGACGATGTGGTGCGCGACCAGCTCGTAGTAGTCCTTGCGCGGCTTCTCCATGCCGAGGAGCATGACCAGCGCCTGCTGGGCCCAGTACGCGGCCTCGAAGAGGTAGTAGAACTTGACGATGGCCTCGTGGCTGCGGTGCGGGTAGAGCTCGTACATGCCGGTGGTGTTGAAGTACCAGACGGGCGTCCGGCTCATGACGTACATGCCGACGGGGCCGAGGATGGCAAAGTAGAGCGCCGTGTAGCCCTGCTCCATGAAGCGCAGCTGCTTGCCCTTGGAGCGGATGCCGTAGGACTTGGCGAGGGGGCGGAGAAGCTCCTGCATGACGAACTCGCGGGTGAAGGTCAGGACGATGGAGTAGAAGAGGACGAAGGCGATGTCCCAGGGGCCCTTGCCGTAGAGGACGGGGGCGTCATTGTCGTCGGCGGCGTTGTCGGAGAGCTTGTAGGAGAGGAAGAGGAAGTGGTGGACGACGTTGGACTCGGTAGGGTTGATGGCGTAGGTGGACAGGAAGGCGAGGATCAGGACGAGCGGCGTGGTCCAGGTGTGCTTGACGGCGATGTGCTTGCACTTGCGGAGGAGGGCGCGGGCGCGGCTGCGTTGGGCGACGAGCTCGTCCTGCTTCGCGGAGGCAGAGGACGGCTGGCCGTGGGCTCTGATGCTCGACTTTCTGCGTCGTCGGACGGCCTGGTCCTTGCCAGAGGGTGCTGGCGACGAGGCCTGTTCTGGGAGTTGTTCGGGCGCGGTCATTGTCGCGTGCGGCGGCTGATCGTGCCCTCAATGAGGATGTTTGTTGTTGTGGTGATGCCAAGATGAGAGATTGCGGGGTGTCGCGTGTGTATAGGTGAGGTGTTGGCTTGAGGTTGAGAGAGCAGAGACAGAGGTCGCTGTCTGGTGTTCGATCGCAATTGACGACGAGACAAAAGTCGGTCAAGGGCTGAGGTGATGAACAAGAAGGAGGCGTTGTTGGATGGCGGTGACTTCTTCAAAAGGAGGCAGAGGGTTAATAGGAGGAGCCAAGAGAAAGCCGAGGGAGGCGGTCGGTGGTCGGTGTCGTCGGGGGCTTTTTTTCTTCTTCTAGGTCTTTCAATTTCCCCCGTGGCTTGCACCGGAGGCGGAATTAGGGTGGATCAGGGACAATCTTAAGGCGGACATGGGTTTAATTCTCACGGTGTCTGTCCGGGTGCCCAGGGGCCAGTCTGGGGACTCGGGGAGACTGTACTGGACCACTGGGTAAGCGACGCAGCGAATCGCAGGCCGCTGTTGTACGCGGATGACCTCTGGACCTGCGGTAAGCTGCGTTTTTTTTTTGTCTTTTCCGGCCTACCCGGTGGGAATCAGCGGAAAGGAGGAGTGTCGATGCGCTGCTGCTTGTGTGTTGCTGGGGGGGGAGAGAGAAGTTTGCACTCTGCAGAGGTTTTTTTTCCCTCTCTGGTGTCTTTCGCTGGTTTTGATTAAAGGGCGATCATTCTGCAGGAAGAAGAAGAAGCAAGCCTGCGATAGGTGGCTGGGCCTGCGGTGTTTTTGTTGGTTGCGAACGTTGGGCGCACCGCTTGAAGGCACCTTGTCTTGCCTTCCATGCCTTAAGTTTTAGTTTGAGGAATCCGTATCTGACTGCCGCAAGCACTCCCGCAGGATGCAATAGGGGAACGGACACGCGATATAATGTCCGATGTCTGGACGGGCATTAATTGGGCGGCTGTTGCAGATGGTGTTTGAGTCTCTTGAAACCACGCATCTCACAACTGTCTGGACGACGCAGCAAACAGAACACGTCAGTCAGTCAGTCTGCTCTAGTCATTCATCCATCCTCTGCAGTGCTGAAGTCTGGCGGAATGTCACCGGTCAGAGTTGGACGACGGCCATTGACTTCGGCTTCTTTGGGAGTGCCGTCATCCCAACTGGACGGGACCTTCCATTGGCAAAAGACAGGACGAAGACGGAGCCCGGAGGCCGGAGACCCCTATTGTCAATGAAAGTTGTTGAGTTGGCGATTCAGGGGTCATGTCGTCACCGTGCCCGCCCGAATTTTTCGTCCCATGTTCCCGTCGCTTTGTTGCCTTAATAAGCGCACCGCGTTGTCACTGGCAGCTGGCGTGTCGCTGTTCCAGCCCATGAGCTAAGGTACCGGCTCTACCGACGACGATAGAGACGGAGACCACAGCACCCCCGAGCGCCCGGCAGTGGGCACTCAACGGCTGCTGCGTATTAGGTCAGCATTTCCCGAGCATGGAAAGTCAACAAATGTACCTGCAGGCATCTGCTCGCAGGGGAGGTACATCTACGGTTTACCAGGCAGGCACCCTGCAGATCACCCGCCCGCGCCACGACTTGCCGCCTGAACCTTGCCAAGCGTCACTCCCAACACTCCTTCCTCCTCACTTCCAAGGCGTTGCTGCCGTGCCACTGCTAGGATTGTCTGTGGCTTGAACGCGCTGACGACACCTCGACGCCTCACCCAGCTCACAGCTCCAGTCACAAAGCGTGGCACCCAGCAGCTGGCTTGCAGCAGCAGCATTGCACCAGCGTTACGGCACGTTGCTCCCGTCCTGGCACTTTACGTACATTACAGCTCATGGCGCAGGGAGGGGGAGGGGCAGTGCCATTCGTCTGTCTGTCCACCGCGGGGCTCTAGCAGGGCTGCCTCTCTCAGGTCCTGTCCTCTGGGCGAGGGATCCCATCTGATGGTGCTGCACCACCTGCATCGCAGCACACTGCACATAGCTCAGCACTGCCATTCGTGTAGTTCGTATCCATCTACACGTGTAAAGAATCTTGGCCAAATAGCTACCTAGCTCGTCGTCAGCAATAAGAGACACCATCTCCCATCTGCTGCTTGCATCTACTCTGTCACTCTCGCATTATACCTTGGCATATAACCCAACTGTATGCATTTCCAGCGCCCGACCTGCATCCTCACCTCGATCGCAGTTCTCCTCGCCACGCTCTTCCTCACGCACACCTACACCGACCTCTTCTCTCGAGTACCGCTCCCCAGCTTTAAATCACCCGCAGGAGACAACATGGGCGGCGGTCCAGGCTTCCGTTCGGTAGCCTACTTTGTCAACTGGTAATTCTCCTGGTTCCTTTCTCTTGTCTGACCAAACTGACCTCTCCAGGGCAATCTACGCCCGCAAGCACCGCCCCCAAGACCTCCCCGTCGAGAACCTCACCCACATCCTCTATGCCTTCGCCAACGTCCGCTCCGACACGGGCGAGGTCCACCTCACCGACGGCTGGGCCGACACCGACATCCACTGGGAGGGCGACAGCTGGAACGACGTCGGCACAAACCTCTACGGTTGCCTGAAGCAGCTCAACCTCCTCAAGCGCCGCAACCGCAACCTCAAGGTCCTGCTCTCCGTCGGCGGCTGGACCTACTCCTCCAACTTCAAGAACCCCGCCAGCACCCCGCAGGGCCGCGACACCTTCGCCCGCAGCTGCGTTGACCTGATCAAGAACCTGGGCTTCGACGGCATCGACATCGACTGGGAATACCCGCAGAACCAGGCCGAGGCGTCCGACTTTGTGGCCCTGCTGCAGGCGACCCGCGACGCCATGGACGCGTACGCATCGACGCTGCCGCAGTGGTACCACTTCGAGCTGACCGTTGCGTGCCCCGCCGGCGCGCAGAACTACGAGAAGATGAACCTCCCCGCCATGGACCGTCTCCTCGACTTTTGGAATCTGATGGCGTATGATTATGCGGGCTCCTGGGACAGCACCGCCGGCCACCAGGCGAACCTGCAGCCCTGCAACAGGAACCCGAGATCCACGCCCTTTAGCACGGCTGCCGCGCTGTCGTATTACACCTCGCACGGCGTGAACCCCACCAAAATCGTGCTGGGCATGCCGCTGTACGGCCGTGCCTTTGAGAATACGGACGGTCCCGGTGCGCCGTACTCTGGCATCGGTGAGGGAAGCTGGGAGAATGGCGTGTTTGACTACAAGGTGCTGCCGCTGCCCGGCTCGAGGGAGTACGTTGACGAAGAGACCGGGGCGAGCTACTCCTACGACGCCGGCAGGAGGAAGATGATCAGCTACGACAACCAGCACCTGGCACGGAAGAAGGGCGATTACATCAGGGGGTGGGGTCTCGGAGGCGGCATGTGGTGGGAGAGCAGCGCCGATAAGCCCGGCCATGAGTCTCTTATCGGCACCGTCGTGCATGCCTTTGGCGGACCGCACTCGTTGCAGAGGCGGGACAATTGCATCACGTACCCGGAGACGAAGTACGAGAATTTGAGGAACGGGTTCCCTAACAACTAGATACCACAAAGTAGAAGCCATCTGGAGTTGGATGTCACGAATCAATGTCACTGAAGAATGAACCGGTGGTGGAGGAATGGTCATGAGTGTCGTGAATTTTGCATCGTCATTGCCAGCCAGTGATGTGGTGGTATCTACATCAACGCCCCTTTTTGTGCGGCTTCCTGCCGACTAGAATGCTAACCCTGGAAACCATTCCTCCCAAACAAGCCTTTTTTATCCTTCACATCCGCGAAACACTGGCAACAAGCTTACTCCTTCTTGTCGAAGACGTAGGTGAGGTGGCAGCGGCCGCAGTACTGGCGGTCGTTCATGGCAGCCATGAAAACACCGGCACCGCACTGGACAATAGTTAGTGATGTGTTCCTGGGGAGAAGCGAAGGGAGGGCAAAACATACGGTGTCGGAGGGGCACTCGCGGCGGAGACGCTCAATCTTGCCGTCGGAGTCGACCTTGTAGTACTTGAGGACGGCCAACTTGGTCTTCTTGCGCTTGTGCTTGATCTTCTTGGGGGTGGTGTAGACCTTCTTCTTGCGCTTCTTGGCACCTCCACGCAGGCGCAGGACGAGGTGCAGGGTGCTCTCCTTCTGGATGTTGTAGTCGGAGAGGGTGCGGCCGTCCTCGAGCTGCTTTCCGGCGAAGATCAGGCGCTGCTGGTCGGGGGGGATGCCCTCCTTGTCCTGGATCTTGGACTTGACATTGTCGATGGTGTCGGAAGACTCCACCTCAAGGGTGATAGTCTTACCCGTGAGGGTCTTGACGAAGATCTGCATGATTGCCTACTTGTGTGAGGTTAGTTTTCTGGCACACTGCTGGTTGTGCTGCTGGCCCGATGAGGTGCCCTTCCTGGGCTTCTCTCGATTCTTCTCGGTCTCTGGCTTGTGTTCCTGGCGGGGAGGCAATTTGTCGAGGCGAAGTGTGGTGGTAATGGCGATGAATTTCACAACGTCGCGCGCACGCACACACGCTTTGCTGGATTTTCGACAACGGTTGACGTGGCCGCTGCGCCGCACAGCCGACGCTTTCGATTTCGCGATTGCGTCGGGGGGCGAAGGGCGACGCCGCCGCAGAGAACTCGACAAGCCTGAGACGGGAACGATATCGAGAGAAGTGGGAAGAGTGCGCTCATGGCCAGCAAAGAGGGAGCAGAAGCATCTTCAGACGTACCTCGACAATATGACTATTGCCTTCCTAAGCAAATCCTCAGATGGGTTTGGGGTGGGATGGAGAGAAAATTAAATGGGAAAATGGTGGTAGGCGCGGCCTCTTCACGGGAAAACCGACGGCCGCCGCGCTGGGGCCCTGGGGTTGGGAAAAGCGGGACCTGGGCTTCAGACAAGCGAGGGCAGGGCATTGGGGGACGGTGATTGGCTGTGGGGGCCTATGGAAATGGACTTGTGCGCGCGAAAATGGCTTTTTTTTTTTCCTGGCGTGTCTTTTTCCCTCTGGTAGTCCCCGGTCTTGGTGGATCTCGAGCCAGCCCTTGCGACCAGCCCTCCTTCGTCTGCAACCACTTCTTGTTATCCACCATTGCGTCGACAGTTCGCAGAGGCCCAGCCCACCAAACGGAAATCTTGACTCAGCAAGCCGAGTGAAAACCTCAAGTATGTCTGCCGCGAAATTTCTCCTCCTTCTTCCTTCTCCTCTCCACGGATACTAATCACCCAGCAGACGTCGCCAAAATGGTCAAGAAGAGAAAGAACAAGTACGACCCTCCCGTCCCCTCTGTGCCTTCGAGCGTGTTTCGGCGTCGACGACGATTGCTATGTGATCATTATCACGAGCCCGGCTCGCCGTCGACGTCGCTGTCGCCGTCCAGGCCTTCATGCAACCGACCAAGCGGGATCACGATTGCTGACTTTGGTGAACCTACAGCGGACGCAACAAGAAGGGCCGCGGCCACGTCAAGCCCATCCGCTGCAGCAACTGCTCGCGATGCACGCCCAAGGACAAGGCCATCAAGCGCTTCACCATCCGCAACATGGTCGAGTCTGCTGCTATCCGTACGCCTAACTCCCCTCCCTTCTCTACTCGATCAATCAACTGACAATCCGACAGGTGATATCTCGGACGCCTCCGTCTTCGCGGAGTACACCGTACCCAAGATGTACCTGAAGCTGCAGTACTGTGTCTCTTGCGCCATCCACGGCAAGATTGTCCGGTACGTTCGTCCGCGGGAGCGACGACTGCGCGCCCCGGCCCCCGTGCCGGTGGTCAGCAGGCGCTACAGAAGAACCTTGGCTCTACTCGAAGCTCCCACCCTCCGTTGTCCCTCGACCCTTCCCTCGCAAGAGGAATCGGTCTTGAGCGGACTCGTGCTGAGACCATGTAATGCTGACCTTCCCTCGCAGTGTCCGTTCCGTCGTCGGCCGCCGCAACCGTGCTCCCCCTCCCCGCGTCCGCTACAACAAGGACGGCAAGAAGATCGTCCCCACCGTCGCCAAGACCGCTTAAGTCGGCTACGGCAGGGATGTGTTGGGCATGATGGCGTTTACGAGCAGTGGATGAAAAAGTTGTCCTTTCAGGCATGGTTTGGGAACCGGAATCGGGTTTATGAATCGGGCCATGGCCCTAGGCTAGCAAAGGAAATGCTTCATGACACTGTCATCGTCCCCAAACTTGTCTTTTCTATCGTGACAGGTTTTTTCTGTCTTGGTTGAGCTGTTGGACTATTGTCTATTCCTCCCGCGTGACTTCAAACGCGACAAAGCGCCAGTCCTTATCCCACCACGCCGGCTTCTTTGCGCCAGGCCCATCCATGCTTCCAATCTGGTCGCTCACCTCCGTCTTGAGCTTCCACCGCGTACCCGTCGCCTTGGATATGTCAACCCACATGCTCTCCCACGTCTGCAGGTTATGCCGCAGGCTAGGCTTGTTAAACATGCCCGGCAACTCCAACCCGTCCGCGTGCCCAACAGCGTGTCCCACCATAACCACACCCGGCTTCTGCTTCAGCAGGCGGATCACCCGCCTCAGCACCGTCATCTGGTCCCCCCTGTTCCACAGGTGCAGGCACAGCCCCAGGTGCGCCGAGTCGAACTGGCCCTCGAGCGCGTTGAGCCTCGCGCTCTTGTCGTCGAGCATGTCGGCGTTGACGAAGGTGGTCTTGAGGGTGTCCTTGTCGCGGAAGAGGTCGTAACCGGCGTCGATGTAGCCCTGCTCGATCTCGATGGCGGTGATGTTCTGTGAGGGCACGCCGTCGTAGACCATCTTGCGCAGGTCCTGGCCGATGCAGCAGGCCACCTCGAGGTGCCGCGCGTCGGGCTCCTGCAGGCGCGCGACGAGCGAGGGGTAGACGGCCCGGTGGCGGAGGTTGAGGTCCAGGAAGGAGAAGTGGCCTACACAGGGGTAGGGGAAGACTTCCCAGATCTTGTCGCGCTGCGGGGTGTATTAGATGAGATGTGTTTGAGTGTGAGAGGGGGGAAAGGTACTGACCATTGTCATGATGTGTTCTTGGATGTCTTCGGGCGCAACGTGGGCGTAGTTCTCGAGGAGATCTCTCGTTTCTGGTGAGATTTCCTTCTCCATGGTCGGCGTGTACCACGGTGCCTGCCTGTTCCTCTCCCCCATGAGAATAGTATTATCTACTGCCTGCATCTTGAGGTTGTTGTATCAGTGGTTTTTTCAAGGTGTATTGTTCGTTCAATGACATCAATGGATGCTCCGTATTCGTGTCTATCAATGGTTCCAACCGAGCATATCAACTGAGCTGTCACCTCTTTATAAATCCAACCTTCCACTCCTCCAGCTCCTCTCGACCAAGCTATTGGACCTTCTCCAAAGCACCACTGGCCGATCTCGGTTCCGTTCAAGGTCGAGGGGGTCCAGAAGTTGGGATGGAATCACCCGTAAAAGACTTTGGAGCCGCGTTTCATCAACGTATTTGGGTCATGCTGGGTGCTGACCTGCTGAACTCTGTGCGATCGTCTGATGTTTTGTTTACTGTCTTCCGCCGAGATAGATCTAGATTACATGGAAACCCGGATTACTGTAATGAGGAGAGGAGAGGAAGTGAGGGGTTCCGCCCGACGAGAGGAATTGCTCTGTCAGAGTTCACCAAGCCACTCGTGTAAGATGCTTTGGCTTTCCTACGCCCTACTTTGAACACGCACCCAACGCCTTACTTTCAACCCCTCAGACCCGTGTCATACCCGTGCTGGGGGTGGATGACAGCGTTTACCATGTCACTGGGAGCTTTACCACGCCGACGTCCTTGTGAAGGGGTGTGAACTCCAGCTCGGAGATTGGAACGGCAATCTTAAGGTTGGGCAGCTTGTGGAAGAGGGTGGCTGGTTCAGCGCGTTAGTAAGCTGCTCCCAAAGCTTGATGCCTGCCTTTCCGTGGGATACTGGCGTGGAAGAGGGAGGGGAGAGGAAGTTGACGGAGTGCTCGTGGGGAAGTTACGTGACGGAAGAAGAAAGACAGGAGAAGTCCGCTTACCAAACACGACCTCCATCTCTGCGCGTGCCAGAGGTTCGGCAATGCACCGGTGCGGGCCGAAGCCGAACCCCAGAGCGTGGTTAGGATCTGGCGTGCGGTGCATGTTGAAGACGTCCGGGTCCGGGAAGACGTCTTCGTCGCGGTTGCCGGAGGCGTTGGCGGCGATGATGCCTTCACCCGCTTTGATGGTCTGCGTAATGTTAGTCTACGTCTTCCGCCACAGAGATATTAAAAACGTTATATAAATTACCTGGCCGCCAAGGACAATATCCTCTTTCGCCACTCTCTTCATCGCCATCGACGAGCCGGTGTGATATCTGCAGAGCTCTTCGACAAAGGACTTCGAGAGGGACGAGTCTGACTTGAGATTGGCGAGTTGCGTCGGGTTGCGGAGGAGTTCGATCACGCCCTGGCTCGTATCAGCTGTCGGCCGCAGAAATTGTTTGAGAGATAAACTTACGAGCGCAATCATGTTCACCATGGTGGCGTTGCCTGCTACCAACAGCAAGAAAGCAACCTGCACCGCGTCGGACTTTTCAATGTGCCCGGGTCGTAGCTGCTCGACGACAAGCTTGCTGATGAGGTCGTCTTTGGGCTGCTCGGAACGCTTGTCGACGAGGTTAGCGAGGTAGTCGAGTAGTTCCCTGAATGATGTGTGAGTAAGTCTATAGAAAATGCATGACATTGGTTGACTTACTGGTTGGCAGCTTGAGCTTGAAGAGCGGTGCCGCTGCCGTTTGTGCGGATCGCATTTTGCTGGGTGAGGTACTCGAGGTCTTCAAACGGGACGCCGAGGATGGTGTAGATGATCTTCCAGGAAATCATGTCAGCTTCGTGAAACCGGCTTTTGCACAAAAAGCAACCAGGGAAAACGAAGAAAGCGGATTTGCCTACATATGAAGGCACCGGTAAGGCAAAGTTCTCAATTAGATCGACTGGCTCCTCGCACCCCTTCGCGACCATCTGATCGAGTAGCTGGTCTACCGTCATCTGTATGTACGGCTTCATCGTCTCCACGTGCTCGGCAACGAAGAGAGGCTCGACCATGGATCGCTGGCGCATGTGCGCTGGAGGATCCATGTCGACGAAGGTGGGCATGTTCTTGGCGGCTGCTTTGCCGCCCGCGCTGAGCTCTGGGAAACCGGGCCTCGTGCGTTCCTGGGATGTATCATGTCAACGGCTTGCGGCGATTTTATGGTCTTGAATGACAGGTCACCTTGGACAAGCGAGTATCAGTGGCCACGGCGCAAACGTCCTTGTACTTGGTCACCAGCCATGCCAGTGAGCCGTCAAAGAGCTTGACGCGGGACACGGGGTCTGTGGCGCGGAGGCGGGCGTATTCTGCTGGCGGCTCTAGGCCGGAGGCGCGGTTGAAGGGGAAAGAAGGGGGCTCGGAGGTTGTCATTTTGCGGGCTGAGAGGGTATTTCTGAGGGCTGGAGTGATCTTGGAAGACCTGAGAAGGCGGGATGTAGAAATCATGAATTAGACTGTGAGTTGCTCGATGATGTCTCTGATCACGAACGCATTTTGGCGAGGCTACGTTATCATTTTATACTCTTTCTACCCTTTTGAAAACTACGTCACTGAAGCCTAGATCCCAAAAGCACAGGCTTCGACCGGTGGGCGACAGTCCCATCTCATGATGGGTTGTGGTCTGATGGTGAGCGACACTCCGCGACGTCAACAAATTCAAATTGTAATACGGATGACCCGGTTGGCCAGCGCCACAGGAAGAGAAACTGCACTCACAGGGACAATGTACCTGGTAGGACATGAAAAACATGGCTTGCAGGGATTTGTTGGCCGATGATGTGCTGACAAGGAGCGGGAAGAGACGGGAAGGTCCGCGGAGTTGTCCAGATCTGACTTTGGAATCATTTTGTGGCCGCTCGTGATGCCCGTATGGGTCCTGGGGGTCCCGACTCTTGCGGCGTCTAAGCCTCTTCTGGTTGCATTCGTCGTTGAAGGGTCGGGTGAGGCTAGTCATGCGTGTCTATTCGATGCAGGGCTTAGAATATCGTGGACTTGTGCTGGGTTTTCTCTGCGGATGGAGAACGAAGGTGCATTTCCAGATCTCCGAAAATTTGTCACTGTGGATGGTAGGACAATGCTGACTCAAGGTGGTATACCATTGGTCAAGAATACATTCGGATTTACTTGATTTGGTATGTGCCAGCAATCATCCCGCCGGCTTATGGGGTATATCGGGTTGATATGATCGGTGCTCTCCGGGGCACGGCGTCATCGGTCCCGTATGGTGGGGCCGGGTGTGTGAATGATTAAAGCGGGATTCGAAGAAAACCTGACATTTGGAATATGTATGATGTGAGTCAGAATACGTCTCGTTTGATTTGCGACGATGATGCTTGTTTCTCTTCTTCGCTGGTGATACAATCAAAACCTGAAGACTTCTCTCCCGTGGAGGGAAACATCACTCCTGACCCTCCGTCTCCAAGACCTTCCTAGGCTTATATGGCTGGATTGTGTTAGTCAGAAGTCTTCATAAGTTCATGTACTTGGAGCTCGACTGACCAAAGGCTTTGGTGGTGCATCAATCCATGCTGCAATAGTGTACTGCTGGTTGTCCGTAGCCGTGAGACTCAAGTCATACTTCCCGCCTTTCATGTAACCAAAAGCAAAGTTCATCGGGAACCGTGGGTCGAACGGCGAAGCTTCGTGGATGAGATCAATATCTGCTTTGGAAAGCTCGATGCCGATTGCTTCGGGGATGGCCTCGACGTGCGAGACGGTGTTGACGCCGACGATTGGGAAGACGTAAGGGGATTGATGGAATAGATAAGCTAGGGCCTGTCGAAAGTCAGCCTCCAACATCTTGAATTCAACGCATGGAAAAACATACGATAGATCGAAGAGTAACGCCCTTCTCTTTCGCAATCTTTTCGAGCGCCTCACAGAGAGCGACCGACACCTCCTGCCCGTGGGAAGACTTGCGGGCGTCGGGGTCTTTGTCGCGCGCCTCTCTTTCCTCGGCGGTCAGGAACTTGCCGCCGCC